AATGGATCGGGAGGTGCGCAAACCGTCACACCACGGTAAGGTCCACTCTCTTCGTGACGGTAAAATTTCAAATGCACAATGTTGAATCCGTAGAAAGTGCGGTTTTGCACGTAATTGATCAAATTCAACTACGCGATACGACACAAAATGACACAATAGCCTGAGGCAGAACGGTCGATGGAAAATAAGCCATCTGACGGATAAAGGTCGTCGTGGGCCTTCGGTGACTCGGGAATGTGCAACCCAGTTTAATGTGCATACCAGCGGTAAACACTGTATGAGTAAACTGCAGGTTTCTGTTTATTGGAGAAGCCCTTCTCATAAGAGGCGGTTTCAGCTGGTCCCCTCACTATCACAAACATCAGCGTCAGTGCGCGAAAACTGCATAACTTTGTCATTTCGTAAACCTAGAGCGCTTTGATTAGACGAACAAAATAGGAGATGCGAAACGGACTGGGTGTTATAATGGATACTACTCATAAGGTTGCTGAAAACTCTTCGACAGCCCACGACCGGTTTCACCCTTGTTGGGGCTCACTAGGTAGCCGCAGCCCCTGAGTTTCCGTCAACCGTATGTTCTGCCTGAACCCGAGTTGGACTGTTTTCGAGAAGTACACTCATTTGCGAATCAATTTAGTTTTCACGAGAGACTCATCTGAATCTTTCGTTTACGGTATTCTACAGCTGAATGTGCTGCACACAGCCTGCCTCATGATTCAATTGGCACGATATTCGAGATATGGCAGTATATTTTCATAAAGGAAACTACTCACAAGGTTGCTCACAAGGTCGTGGGCTTTCGAACAGCTTTCAGCAACCTTGTGAGTAGTTTCCTTTAAGAAAATAAGCTGCGATATCTTGAATATTGTGCCAACTGAATCATGAGGCGGCCTGTGTGCAGCACATTCAGTTGTAGAATATCATAAACGAGAGATTCAGTTGAGTCTCTCGTGAAAACCAAATAGACTCGGTGTTAGTTTACTAAAGCAATCTGGATAGCAACGAACAGCAAACGTGCAGATCCCCCATGAAACTCAGTTATCAACACGGTTGATCTGACGCTCTAATATTAGTGTCACACATGGCAACTTACATTGAAAGTGAATGTAAACTATTCTTGAAGGTTAGTCAGCACATTCTACGATATGATTTTACCCCGAAGGTTCTCATATCTTAAGCCTTAAATATGTTCGCAGTCTGCCTCCATGAAGTCCAGTTTTCCTGTGATGAGAAAAACGTTTTTCTCACTATTCCCAGTCACAGTACTCAAAGAATGTGCTTCAAGAGGATTTGTTTGGTGTTTCAAATGCTATCACAGGTTAATTTTTAGTGTACAACGTTCGATATCCTTAAGCATCTGACCGAGGCGTGCTGTCAGCACCGCATGTCGTAACGCCCTCTTGTTTTGATCGCACTGCCCAGTTCGATGGATGTGAGGGACGGGTGTGTTGAGCGTGGTGATCGGAGATCTGCAAGTGAAGACAATCTGTGCCGGAAAGTCGGGAATCACTGTACAGGCGTTCCGTCTTTTCTGGAAGTCGTCAACGGTATGCATCTTACCTCCCTCTAGGAAGACACAAACCCGCCACCTTCTGGCTAGTAATTGAAGACTATGGTGTTTGAAACTCCTGTTTGAAAAATCGCCATTCAAAGGTCAAATCGTCACGTAATCACGTGATAGGAATTAAAGGCCGACCTTTTGTCTTACCTAATCATTCAGTCAATCAGCAACGTAGATTACCATATTCAGTAGAAAAACTATCACGCTTAATTTTGGTCTGGGGAAGGGGAACCAGTCTGGGGCATCTAATGCTCTATTTGGATGTGATGTCTTCATCCTGGACTCTGAACAATTCAGTCAATGACATGTTATATTGGTACATTCTGCTTGCTGTCGCACTTGTTGGGGGTGATTAATCCATGTGTTAAATCCATGCTTCGGTTGGTTCGTCAATTGATTTCTCGCCGATTGCTTTTCCCTGGATGATCTTGTTCATCGAATTTCTTTAGTGTCTCATTAAGTCCCAGATATTTCTTCAAGCTTTTGATCAGACCGATCTGTTCCCCGAGCAAACGCTGCTCTAATCTTGCAGAAAGTGATGATCAGCTCTGGTAGTTATCCATTTTGAAACTGTCGCTCTTCAGGTGCCTGTTTTCGGATGCCACCCCTTGCACTAGTAGGTTTGACTTTATCCCAGTAAGGACGACGACCAGACAGAATGACACCCACTTACAGCTTTGCGCTGTCATAAACATTTGGAAGCTGAACTCCAACGACCATTTCGGTTTCTATCACATTCGTGATTGGTTACTGTGTACAGCCAATCGGTGATGACATCACTGAAGGTACAGAGCTTCAAAGTCTCACTTGTCGACACTGAATAATGAGGAGTGCTAGCGAATGTGGTAAGTAACGTTCGAGGAATTTTATCGCCTAGTTTAGATTTTTTGCGGGCACTAAAGTTCACCCGCGTATTAGCAGCCCCCCCTACAACAAACCCCACGAGTTCAGGGAAGGTTCATCCTCCCTATCATGATGTCCCTTTTTCGAGGAAATCTCCGATATCCACCATGAACTTAACAAATTTATTGTTGCAAACTTTAACTTGCTCTAGAATAGTTTTAAGCCCTTTCGAACAACCGAGTGGTACAAACGTGAAATCTGTACATTGTTCCAGCTGGGTTGGTTGGGGGAATATTCTAGTGTCCTACCGCTCTTGTCACCATTCACATTAGTGTCAATCGCGTTGTTTTCTGTTTTAACTGTCACTGAGGGGAGTAGCCTTATGTATTCACATTCGAAGAAGTTGTCTGCACTAGCATCAGGTGGTTAATTGCAGTTGAAAGTATTTGGCAGCGATTCTGGCGTTACCTGATGGCGATATTTGGCTTGTCCACTTGCCCTGTCGCTCGCTTTAGTTCCTCCAATGATATACGCTTTAGGTTTGTAATCGTATATTGACTCTAGCCGCTGGCTTCGTTCACACGAAGGATAGGCACTCATTGGCGGCACAGGTTGAGCAGCCCCACCTGTGGAATATCCACACACTTATGGGTATCGGTCCGCTGGGATGTGGTCCAATGCACCGTGCTGTAATCGTGTCCTTCTTGCGTGCCGTGTGCAGAGCCTAGAGTTGGTGGTTCGGGTGATGGATACCGGAAAGTCAGGTAATACAGCGGTATGATTGCGACCGTGTTGAGAAGACAACGATTACTGAGGAGCCTATCAAATTTTTACGAGGCTTCAGAGGTGATTCAGGCAATTCTGCATAAACTATTCACTTACTGTGTTCAGAAAATGAGAAGGCACGTTTTTCACGGTAGAAAAAGAATATGACGAGGCGGGGGTTAGTCCATACTCTACTGCAGGGGTTTCATTCCATACTTGTTTTGTGTGGATCATAACACGTTTGACAGTTCCTGCTTGCATTAGCGAGCCTGGAAATGAAATAGACCCAGTACAGAATGACGAAGGTCGACGTCTTTAAAAGTCGGATCATCCGTCACGGTCGCCTCAGACTCGATTGGGAATAGTGCTGTGTTCACTCAAGAGTTGAACGTAATTTTCTCATTTTTCTAAGTTGACCATTGCACGAGCATACCTGTAAGTTTAGAATCTGATCAGTATCTGAAATACAACTTTCGACGGTGGTGCTTTTTAGTATTTCATTATCAGTAACGGTAACAGTGACGTTGCCGGTGTACGGTCTAGTGATTACCATAGTTTTCCCTCCACTTCTGAACTGACTACGTCAAACTTCAGTTAGAGATACACTTCAAGATCCGGCTTTCGGCAGTTCGTTCAGTGGAGGGGTCTCTCTTGAGGCGTCGACTTCACACCCACTGTGCACCACCACCTCATCGATGGTGGACTCCGCATAGTACTTCGCTTGTTGTGACCCGACGAAATCGAGTCTTCTTCGTTCTAAGAGATCATTAAACAGTTCTTTTTTGGTGAGATTGGTGACAGCTGTCGATAGCTCCCTCGGAGCAACACAGATCCATTGCTTCTGGGGCTTTCTGACAAACGTCTTACCTGCTCGTGTTTTCTGCCCTTCAGCCAATCGGTATGACGTCACGAACACCGCGGTGTTACCGGATAATACGGTAGATGAGAAAAGACCTTTCGACACTGATGATATTCATTCTACCAATGTTCCTCCATATCCGGGCGTGGTGCCCACCCAACGCACCATGATGAGCACAGATGCCATCCTTGCTCTGGAACGACGTCAAGCCGAATTAGAGGCACGGGCTGCTGAACTGGACCGTAGGGAAAAGGAACAACAATCACGTATGAGTGCCTATCAGGCTGGTACACGTAAGTGGATTTGTCAGCCCTCAACCCCCACCCTGTAAGGTGCTCTCCCCTTTTGTGCGTTTCCTCGGCGTGGGTGCACTTACCTCATGTCCCTGTTCTCATTTAGCCCCCCACAACTGGCCTCCATTGCCCTCATGGTGTCCCTGCAAACCTTGCGTCCGACAAGACTTCGAGACCGACATTCCCCTGGATTGTCGCTGGCTCGCGAAAATGGGGTATGCTGTCTGGTTGACTTATGCTGTCGTGCTGTTGTTGAACATGGGTGGCACTCTCGGATATTTTATTGTGGGAAAGTCGTCGGTGGAAGGCCCTCTTTTTGGAGCTTCTATTCTACTCCTGCTTGTGATGCCACCGTTGGGATTCTTCGGGTGGCACCGACCGCTCTATAAAGCCTTGAGGTGAGTTACCCACCTTCTTTAGTAGTAGTTCAGCTGTAGTACCCTTTCAGTGCTTAGTCGCCGTGCCACGTGACAGAAGCATTAGGGCTGCCCAAGCCTAAACAGGGAGCAGAGGTTCGGTTCGAACCACGAACCATCTAGTCGTTCGAGGCGTTGGGCAAACCAGTCAAATCGATCAATTTTGAACACGGTCGTCCGTTCTGTTGTCATAATTCAGCTGAGTCGAGCGGGTACTAATGGGATGGTGGTAACATGCATACAAAAAACGCCGATCACAGCGGTTCTCCTCGGGCTGAAGTGATAGGTGAACATTCATGTGAACGCCTTCAGACCATGCAGGACCGGACATCTGGCACACTTAAATTGAAGCATTTCATTGTTTGGCGCCGTTCTGTGTGATTACAAACCATGTTTACGACCAAAGGAGTGCCACGACCATGTCATGCGCTACTTGGATGGAGTATGACAATAACTGGCGCGCCAGAAAGCATACATCAAAGCCTCACCTGGGAGATACTGTATTCGTCAAGCGTTCCGACTTGAACTTCCAGTTGACAACCTATTTATGGGCGGAGCATCGATAAATTGTACACGCATCGGTCTGACGTGCCCTTTCCAAGGAATGCAATTTAAAGGTATACATTACCTGACGTGGCAAGGCCAAACCGCGCTTCTAAGGAAGCAGGGAACGATTAGAAATTGGTTCAATCGTTGTTCGAACATTTAGCCCACCCGCATGTGTTCAAGACTGCGGTTGAACGCCTGTGTGAACATTTTTGTTGAATAACAGATAATTTCTAAAGTAAAATGTGGCTATCTGTATGGGCTTTCGGTCCATGGGGTTTTGTGGAAGTGGTAAACTGATCGGTGGCTGGAGAAAGCTTGGGCGAACTGTGATGTAACTTGTGTTTCGCTCGTCCGGTGGAGAATCGTCGTGCAATATGTGTATTATCGCCACCCCAATATATCCGTTGTCTTGCCATGACCCGTGTACCATCAACGGTCGGTCAGTGAGTGGCCTTTTACACCACGGGCAAACGCATTAGCGACATTCTCGAAATAGCCAACAACAAAAAAAGTTCAGCTGTAACACCCTTTCGGCGCCTAGCTGTCATGCCACTCAAAGGAAACACGAGAGCTGGGATACTGCTAGGTTACCCAAGCCTAGAGACAGGGGAAGTCGAGTGGTAGAGATCAGATTCGAACCACGAACCTTTTTGTCAGCGATTCGCGTTCTAACCACTGAGCCATCTCGCCCCCAAAATAGCCAACTTCAATTAATTCCGTCCAACCGTAACACCTTGATGGGTATTAAACCGATCTTGTCAACCTATTAGTGGTTGGACTATTCAAGTAACGTAATCTTGAAGACCTTTGGCGGTTATTGGTATCCTGCTCATCAAGTTGATCCCAGACGCCCGCCCTCAAACTTTTGCTGGCGGGCGGTATGATCGGCGTAACCCGCAGGCCAGACAACAAAAAGTCGATCCAACTTAGATCAGTTGAATGAACTTGGATTTGACCTTTCGCTTTCAACATTCGGTTAGGTTGCGCAAGCAGTCATGAGGATTGGTCGCAGATGGACATCAGTCGAGTTGGTCATAAATCTTAACATAAGTCATCCTTCAGAAGTTTTTTTTCATACAGGTAGACTGAAGATGAATTTGTGCTGATGTGACTATTCTGCCGAATCCAAATCAAACGGGAGCAGCAATAGATTCGAATTCCGCAATGCATATTCTAGGCCCTGTGTCGAAACTTGATCCTCGAATGTCTGATGTGCAAGGTGAGCGTGTTACCACCCCCCATTAGCATCCTCTAGACTCAGCTGAATTATCATATCTGAACAGGCGATCATGTTCAAACTTGATCGTTTTGACTGGTGTGCTGTAATTAAGCAACAAACTCACTGGACGGATGGTTCATGGTTCGAACCCAACCTCTGCACCTCGACTGCTCCCTAGTTAGGCTTTGGCAACCTGGCAATATCTCAGCCCTACTACTTCTGTTGGGTGGTATGGCCGCTATGCATTCGATGGGTGTTACAGCCGCACGATTGATATCAGCGTTTTTATTTTTTCCTAGCTGTTTCGTTCAATCAACCCTTATATATTTCGTCGAAGGGAAAATGCCGCTCCTTGATTCTCTGGTGGATTCTTTTTTTATCCCATGGTTTCTGACAGCAATAGGTATAAATCTGGGATCGCCAGCTTGCGGATGTGCTACTATCTTCCTTGTACTGTTGTGTTGCACTGCCGTACAGATCGCTTCGGTAGATTAAGGTCATCCTCAGAGCTACGAAAATTTTTAGTTTAGCGCCAGTTCATTTGACCAGTTGAAAACCACCTAATAAGATCAATTGCTACCGTTTCACTCACCGAGAACTGGGACAACAGGAATCGATTGGCCTGACACTGACGGTCTGGTTAGTTAATTACCGTTGACTCATTCTGGTCGGCCGATGACTCGGAAAATTGGGCATGTGCATACCAAAAGACCGCTGTGATGCAGCAGCACACTGACTGGGTGACTGAGCCACACCTGTCAGTTTCCCCTGCAACCGCTGAGCCGAGAAGCGAGGTCCCCGTCCAGGGAGACGGCAGATTTCACCCCGACTGGGTTTTCCTACTTAACAGCCTGGTCGTGGACCTAGCTCTAGAACTGGGCAGAAATAGCTCCGTGGTGTAGGCAGTCCTCAGCATTGTTAATCAGATGTCTCCAACGTTTTGGACACCACTGATCAGACATCGGAGGTTTTCACATAGTTTCGGCGTGCGTCGATGTATACTATGTCCTCATCAGACGAACCGATCCCATAACATAAACGTAGACGGTTGACAAAAGTTGCCTTGGTTTTCTGGATTTCAGGCTTGCTCTCGCCTTCACTGAGTCTCTTCGGGCTTAAGCAGATAATTGAATTTGTCCACCAAGTCGATTGACTGGTCTGTGAGCACAAAGTTTTTGGTCCAATCCAACCAACACTGCAGCAGTACGTTGCACTTTGCTGTTGTGGTGCGCTTGTATTTTCGAGGAATTCGAATCAAGAAGACCAATGTCGTCTGCGTGCTCCGGAAACATTTAGACTCCCGAGATATCAACGGCAGGTAGTCAGGTCTCAAGCAGTATATCAATAATATCAATAATATATACCGAGAGCAGACAACAATTTCTGGCATCACTTGAATAGGTAAACGTAGGCAGATGTTGTACGCGCCCACATGGTTTACTGTAGTGTTTTACAGATAGCGAAAAGCGACGATTTTCTGACGTCTGGAAAAGTGACATGTTTCAGGCACATGTTTCAAATTAAACATGTGATCATTACGTCCTCGGTCAGAGAGAATCCCAGCTTGGTACTCGTTTAATGCCAGAGGTCATCTTGTGTGTTATGTCCACTAGACCAAGGATTGCTTGACATGTCACAAGATTTGAGTTCGAGCTCCGTAAAACCGGAGTTGGCCCGCCGAACTCAAGTTCGGTAATACAGACGGCGGAAATCGATGCCAATTTTTTGAAGAAAAGCGTAAAACGGGCGGCGAAATAAAAACGGCTTGTTTCACGGTGTTTGTCTATACTTTTTCCACACGGTGCTTTTGAATGTGGAGCGCAATGCATAAATAAACGCGGGACTTAGTGAGGCAACATATATGGAATGCGATGTAATTTGTTCATGCAAAGCGCCTCTTGAACTTCGTCATTCGACTGTCACACACTAGATTTGCCCTCAGTATACGTTCGATATCCTACAGTGAATTCCAGGTGTTCAAGGACACTCGACCCATTCTAAAACTAGCGTTTTCACCATTTTTTCGTCCTCTACGCCAATGTTTTCCCCGAAAAGGACGATGTCATTCACTGACTACTTCATATCCTCATCGATTTTTCTCAACAATCTGTTCATCCGTTTCGCTTTCACACTTTGTGGTGTTATTCCTTCACGGTATTGACTGATGAGTGACGTTCACTCTGCCCACTCCTATGCTTATGGTGTGCGAAAATTCTTGTGAGATTCAGTGTTTCAAACTCCTCAGAATCTACACTTCCAGAAACCTCAAGCTGCCTCGTAGTGCTTTCACATTCTCTTTGGTGTTATTCTTTCACGATATTGGCTGGTGAGTGACGTTCACTCTGCCCACTCCTTTCGATCGCTAATCAAACATCAGTGTATGCGGGTTTCCTTATTTGTTAGTCTGCCTGTACGGTTTTGTTAGGTCGCTTCCAAACAGGCGGTCTTCGTCTACCACTCAGAAGATCCTCGATGTTTGGTTTCATCTCGCCGTTCCTGATCCGTAGACCGGGTTTTCAACTGTAAGATGGTTTCATACCTTTCACCATGAGCTTTCTAGTGGCCATGCATTCTGTTTTCGGATTCAGCTATCGCTGCCCTCTCAGTCTTTGATTCCTCATGAATTTCTTCGTCTCAGACAAGATCTGCAGCGCGTTCGTTCATCAACAGAGCCGTGTTTGGTTACTTCAGTCAGTAACTTTTGCTTCTTAGCAACTTCATTCGACTGTTCTAATCGTGTGTGGTCGACAGGTGTCTATTAGCTCGATATCCTATTGACCCACCACCCACTTAATCTGAGCCTCTGTCTTTTGAGCCGTATCTCTAGTTGTTGGCATTCGTCCAAACTTTGTGTGACAGCTTCAGGACAGTCGTGCACATGTCTGCTGCAGGGTAAAGGACGCAACCATCAACAAGCTGTGTTGTGTTTTTGTGTGTGCATCACGTGCGCGGTACCCACGTACAGGTGTAAATAGATCTTTGTCCCTTGAACAGTTTTGTCTTGCCTCATGAAAAAGATTCGAAAAAAACAAAACTTGACCATGTATACTACTCATGTATACCACTCATAAGGTTGCTGAAAATTCGTCGACAGCCCACGACTGGTTTCACCCTTCTTGGGGCTCATCAGGTAACCGCATTCCCCGAGTTTCCGTCAACCTTATGTTCTACTTGAAACCAAATTGAACGAAATTAGCGAAATACACTCATTTGCAAACAAATTTGGTTTTTCGATGGACTCACCTTGAACCAGTCTAGAGTATCGGCATCCGATTTGACCGTAAAGGACCAAGTTTCTAGTTGGATGCTTGCCAAAACGATCTGAGTTAAGAGCCTTCCATAGAGACTGATTATCCGCAGTACGCGCCACGACTGCTACGGTCGATGTTACCGGATCTCAACAGCCAGTTTTGTTGTTGTCGGACTGTGTCATTGAAGAGCCGATCGACTATACATACCTGCGACGAGTCTGGTGTGAACATAGCTTCCAATATACTCGGAGCCTCACCATGTAGCTGTGTTCCTGGAAGATATCCCGTCTGAGAAGAAAAGAATTGGACCGACTAAACTGATTCTCCCCTGGAAGCACTTCACCATGGAATGAGATTTCAGAGGGTTAGCTAATACTGATGTCTCCGGATAGCGGTTGTACTATTTACCGACCGTTTGTTCTTAAAAATTATTTTGGAGCTTGTATACAAATGGAACATGCGGTGAATGCTCTCTGCGGCGACTGCTTGAGTGGACCTGTTGTCTCTGAATGTGAAACACTTTTGCTTCCCTTTTTGCCGTTCAATGCTGCGTCCACTCGGTAGTATTGCACTTAAGCAGTGTTGGTGTCAAATAGAACTCACCAAGACTGACTCAAGCTGCTGGATTGCTCTCCTGTATTCCCAATCCCGAGTTCAAAAAGGGAGTACCTCAAGTGGCCGGGTGGAACTGGCCATGTAGTTCGGACACTAAACTTTTCGTTGAATCCACATTTGTGCACCACACAGCGGGCGTTGATGAACTAAAGGTCACAAGGTGCGTGTGTACAGTGTTCATCTCTTGATTATGCTTAGTCTCTGCTCCATCGAAGTGGGATGTGCCATAAAATCTCAGTATGGAAAATGTTCGATCCTTATAAACACTCGCTCTTCGGAGGTCGACTGTGGTGGTACCTCTTACCTCAAAAGCTTGGCACCATCTCAAATGATAGCAGGTATCACGCAAAAGTACCGAATTGGCTGAATGGAGCCGAGTTTGGTTAAAACCATGAAATGACAAATTGCGACTATGCGGGTTGCTAGGAATTTCGGAAACGAGCGCTCTGCTCATCATCATTAGACAAACCTTTCATTCTACCCAAAGGAGATGTGACAGATGTCAGCCAGGCGTTATGCTTTTCAACCGTAAAAGGAAAGGCAGATGAGGTTGATTTCTAAAAAATGTCTCGTATAAGCTGAATTGGAACAAGGTTAACCACATTCTGATAGTAAGGCAGAGACCAAGGTTTGTGACAAGTGCTTGTAAAGAATCAATTTAATTGTGCAGTTGTAGGCTTGTGTCGTATCCATCCAATATAAGTCCAGGTGAATGTTAGATCGATACATGTGAATACTGGGTGTGACTGGAACAGTTACGTTTCAGTTGCAACTTTTTTCCGCACAAAAGCTAATGCTTGTTTGTTTTTAAACATATGTATCATCTTAACGGAACAACACTCATCAGATTGCTGATTATTTTTGAACAGTCCGCGACCGGTTTCATCATTCTCTGAGTTTATCAGGTGGGCGTAGTTCCCACCTGTCTTTGCGGGTATTTCTCCGATGCGCATCTGCCATACCACCCAAGTGAAGTACAAGGAATGAGAAACCGTCAGATTGTCACACTGTCAAAGCCCTGAGAAGTACTCGGTTTACTCGTTGATGCCATCACGGCTAAAATTTCAAGCCTGTCCGTGGGAAATCACTATTCGATCTGGCCTATGTGAGGAAGGGGTTCCTTGAGATCGGTACGTGGTGAATTGGCATTTGAAGGAAGTCCTGTTTTCTTCCACTGTGGATCTGCTGGCGATTTACGTGTACCTCACCTTCAGCCTGAATCTTTTGAACTCATTCTAGGTGGATGTCACACGCCCTGTGACGTGTGTTCCACAATGGCATCTCGAGTCCTAGCGATTCGCATGTCAACTGTAGTTGCACCGTGCACTTACGTGCACAGGTGAACTAAATCACAGCCACCATTATATTAGGAACTAGGTACTTGACCCGGTCAAGACAACCATAGTAATCTTAGGATCACACCCAAAGTCTTCTGGACATATTGCACTGGTTTATTGGTGGTTGATCAGATGACCGTTTATCTGTTCGCCGAGCTCAGTAATTAGCGTTTGAGACGTTTCTTCCCCACTCGAGGAGACATTGTCAGTGCGCAATTTAGTGTCAGCAAACTCAGCTGCTTTGGTCATTGGTGTCCCCACAGATGGGTAATTGAGATGAGACACATTGACAGGCGTGGTCCAATCGAACTCTCAGCCGCGCGCATGGTTCCAAGCTGGTGCCTTCATAACTCCTTCCCATCTCCCTGATGAAAAGTCCACTGTCACTCTTTGATTCATGCGTTGACGATATCAACTTCCGTCTCTAGTGCGCGGCTATCCATCCCCCTATCTCTCCAGATAATAGGCGAAAGAATCTGACATGTATAACGTTGATACAATACAAACGTTTACTGATGCACATCTAATTTCACAGAACCAGGTACACTGGTTGAGGAGATTCGGTCACTCAAAAGCACAGCTCATTGACTTGTTCAAGTTGTTTAGAGGAACTCATTCTTTTACCGGTGTATAGATGCATCACAGCTGATCATTCTCATTTAGTAAACATTCTCACACGCCTACACTGGGTGTTCCAAGTGTGCAGATTGTCGTATAAATCGTGTTAGGTGATGTAAGGAACGGCTCGACCTTTGATTTTTTTTCCAATGTAGACAGAAAAGCAAATCCACTGTAGTCTCAGCTGGTAACAATTTTGAACTGAGTTGAAAGTATGACACTGGCACAAACCTGGAAGCATCTGTTGCATTGGTCTTTGACAACTCACCTTCAGATATACGTAAGCCACAATCTAGAATGTACCTGCCCTATCCGTCCATTTTGAACCATGCTTGTTTTCTGTTGCCCCTTCTAGATCGGACAGTTCAATGAACTACGTGTTGTTCTTCATCATGTTCGCCGCACAGACCATTATCATCCTTATTCAATGCCTCGGTATTGATTATCTGGGTTCCTGGTAAGTACAACCTTACATTATCATTATGATCATCATGATCGTTACAGGATTATATGCCAGCTACTCTGTTCTCGTCCGTATACTCGTTAGATGCATCATACTCCCTGCTCGTCAGCTGCCCACAGAAGTTGCCGTAGAATCATTGGATTCTGTGTCTGGCTGTTCATAGGTACAGGAATATCGAAATAATGACGTGAAATTTCTCTCATATAGGCATCCTTATTCATTCATTCATCACTTCAAGACAAGGGGCGCGGTATGAGCCTTACTAACCGTCTGGACATTGATCCTCGACACCATCGCGTTGTAGTTGGGCCATATTGTTCGATTTACTATGAACTCGCTGCCGGCACTTTTGAGCTGGTCCTGCTTTCTGCAAATACAGTTTACGTGCTGGATAGGGTTTAAGCTTTCCTGTTTCATCAATCGCGTTTATTCTCCACTCTCTCTCTCTCTCGCCCGATTTACTGATATCTTTTCCTTTGCCCGTCTATACTTGTGTCATTCTACGTGTACTGTAATCGACTGTTGGATTGGTCAATACTCACTAAGTTGTCCGCCCACGATGGAACCTCAAGTGTTACACAGTTGATAGATTGCCTCCTCAACCGTAAAGTATCCCACATATTTCAAATGTATTTTTATTCTATGGTCTCCAGGTTTTTCAGTCTTTGTCTCACGTACTGTCTGACTCTCTCAGGTGCTTATCGCGTGAAAAGTTGGCGGACTTGACGGTTGGACTTTGAGTTTTTTTAAGTATAAGTCATTCAGCGTCGATCAATATTTGGATTCGATCTGGCTCTATCCAATCCTGCGTGTTATTTTCGCGTTCGTTGGAGCCTGTCTATGAGTTTGGCTATCGACCTACGTTCTGGTGGGTAACGAGGGTTTCTTGGAGGTGCTTCATATCCTTCTCACGGTTCGAATGCGGCCGATCCCAGGAATAATCACTGTCTTGATCATAACTTTGACTACTCGCATAGCCCATCAAAAACCGTCATAGTGGTTTTAACTTTGAGACACCTCGTAGGTAGCACACAGACTAGAGTTTATCCAATCTCCACTGTGCTGATATCCAAAGTCATGTAAGTAATCGAAGCATATAACTTGCTGTTCTATCTGTCACCATCGCTGTGTCATTTTCTGACATCGGTGCACTCAGATTTATTCCCCCGAACTGTGTGCAGCACCTTCTGTCAGACATGTGCTAGTCATATGCATCCAATTCACCTTCATTTTGATATGTGCGTATCCACCTCAACGAGCATCGAGTAAAAGAGCTGAGTAAAAGTTCTGCTCATATTGATTATCGCGTTATTGCCGTTAAACTCACACTTTGTCCAGTTGACTTATCCGAAGACCAGCACATTCAGAACTTCGGTGTTCATTCTCGTCGTTTTTATGAAGATGCCACCTTCAAGGGTCCCCTTTGTTACCAGAACGGAACTGTTAATTGTCTAAAATTTCGTCTTAACTACGGACTGATCGTTTCTGGTCAATTCTCACATTCTGCTTATACTTGTCGTCACCACACGTTCAGCCACCAGATTGCATCGTGCTGAGACTGTCTTGATCATAACTTTGACTACTCGCATAGCCCATCAAAAACCGTCATAGTGGTTTTAACTTTGAGACACCTCGTAGGTAGCACACAGACTAGAGTTTATCCAATCTCCACTGTGCTGATATCCAAAGTCATGTAAGTAATCGAAGCATATAACTTGCTGTTCTATCTGTCACCATCGCTGTGTCATTTTCTGACATCGGTACACTCAGATTTATTCTTTCGAACTGTGTGCAGCACCTTCTGTCAGACATGTGCTAGTCATATGCATCCAATTCACCTTCATTTTGATATGTGCGTATCCACCTCAACGAGCATCGAGTAAAAGAGCTGAGTAAAAATTCTGCTCATATTGATTATCACGTTATTGCCGTTAAACTCACACTTTGTCCAGTTGACTTATCCGAAGACCAGCACATTCGGAACTTCGGTGTTCATTCTCGTCGTTTTTGTGAAGATGCCACCTTCAAGGGTCCCCTTTGTTACCAGAACGGAACTGTTAATTGTCTAAAATTTCGTCTTAACTACGGACTGATCGTTTCTGGTCAATTCTCACATTCTGCTTATACTTGTCGTCACCACACGTTCAGCCACCAGATTGCATCGTGCTGAGTCCCTATTGATTTATCCTCGTTCCGCTCTCACGTGTGACTCGTATTGGTCGTTGCATTTCGTTATTTTTCTGCTCGATCGTGCATAACTGTTGGTTCCTATTGGTTATTCGGTTGAAGAGAAAGTCTCAGCCAATTCATGCAATTTTTTCCGATGTATATAAACCGCCTTACTTCGCGGCAAAAGAAAGACCTGTTCCTGTGCTCGACTTTGGCTTCTTCCTTACGCGAGTTGACGGGTTACCTCCGGACGACACAACAACCTGGCGACGGATTGTGTGGACAAGATGATAATTTCATTCGAACAAATGCAGCAACTCCTCCATATCCAGCAGAAACAATTTGAAGAATCCCAGAAACAGCTGATTGAAATGCTGTCAAAAAAATTGAACCTCAAGTCCGAAACCGCTGTGGACAAGAATCAGTCCTCAGTTGATTCCATTGCTGCTTCCATATCCGAATTCGTTTTCGATGGTTTATCAGGAGTGAAATTTGGATGGTGGTTCCAGAAGTATGAAGACATCTTCCNTGCCCCTGCGCCTTGACGCAACTTCAAATTCAGCCCGTGGTTCGTGGTCGATTGTAATCGCCGGTCGATCATGCAACATTTTCGTTACGCGATCCATCCAAGACATAAGCCACCCGGTGATTCTTGCCCCATCGTGCGCGTATGCTTTACGCCTGACCGTTGACAATATTTCCACCCGAATCCGTACCGAAACTCATCGGTTACACACATCCGAACTTGTCTATTCATTCCGATGTTTGGTTCTTTGATTCCCGAACAGATTCGCGAATTGCCATGCCACTTTAGCCTCGAACCTCCCGACTGGTTGCTGCGCCCCGATTCCTTTTACCGTTTTTAGTCATTTGGTGTCACTTTCCTTTGACTTGGGTGATCCGCCGTCCACACCAGTCGTACCGTAACCGTGGCACTTATTTTGAAACTTGGCATTCAGATTAAACTTAGTGTTACTTGGTGTTACTTTTAAGCCGATTGTACCCGAATGTGGTTTTTTTTGACGATCGATTGTGCGTGGGGTTCTCCATCCAGTTTATGTTAGGCGTGGTTGCTGTTCTTTCTCTTTGGTACGAATACTCACAGGTAGACCGTTATTCCACCTTCTATGTCAAACAGGGTCTTCTTATCTTGTTTGTTTGCTGCTTAGTGACGGGGCTGTCTCTTCTTATAGATACTTCTGTGAGCTTACGCAAAGCCTATTGTCATGAATGACTGACCCCTTGTTTCTACATAACACACTACTCATAAAGTTTCTGAAAACTCTAGTCCACCGTCGGTCTCGCGTTTTATGGAGCTTGTCAAGCAGTCGCAATCCCTGAGTTTCCCTCAACCTCATGTTGTCTTTCAACTCAAGTTGGGTGGAATTTGACAAGTGCACTCATGAATACCAATTCGGTTTTCTCGGGAGACTCAATTGAATCTCGTTTTCGCTGGTCTCCTTCAGCTGAATGTGCTGTACGGGGCCACCGGGAGCTTTCGGCCACATTGTGAGTAATGTGTAGACGTCTAGACACTAATACGATGTCTCGAATATCGTACCAACTGAAGTATGAGGTGACCTGGTACAAAACATTCGGTTGGGTGAGAACATGATAAACGAGAGATTCAGCCTGGTTCCAGGTGAGTCTTCTCTTAAAAACGAACTTGGTACGAACAGATTCCTTATGGTATTCAACCCAATTCTCATGTTCCGCTTTGAAGAACGTCTCCCAAATTCAGATTAACCTATGTTGTCACTCCTGAGAACTAGCAGCGAAACACTGCAGCTCACAGATCCTCGAATACTGGTTGAATTCTGAACTGTTGAATTACGGCTGACTGATTCGAACTTTGAAGAATTATCTTCGTCGACCGTACTTAAGTCATCGAGTGGTGCATTCTCATGGGGATTTCTCGTAACCAATAAGAGAGAACATTCCGAATTTCATCTTTGACAACCAAACTGAGAAGCCGTTGACAGCCTTTTTTCCTTTGTGGTTGACCTCAGTCAAAACTGCCCACGGATTTTGGCTGAGGGATTCGAATTTACAGTGAGCCACACTCTGGAACCACAGACAGATGACTGGTTGTACTGTGGTTGTGCTGCAGGCACTTCCATCCGAGAAAACATCCAGCACCATGGACTACGATGGCTCGGTCATGTGCTACGCATGCCGAAACACCATCTACCGAGACGAGTGCTGCTCTCCGTGCCTGCATCAGGATGTCGCAAACCGCGAGGTGAACAGCACATGACCTGGTAGAAAGGCGTGAAAGAGATCACGAAGAGTTTGGGTGTTGTTGGTGCTGTACTTTTTCCAGGATGAGGTTCCCGTGACCCCGTCTGTGTGTGGCTGGAGACGTTGCAAGAAACGGCGTTCGTGATGTCATCATCAGTGCCAACACTGATGTNGCACCTCAGAATTCTTGACATAGGCCAGCACTAGGTCCACTCCCCCACCCACTCTTTTTCTGTTTTCACTCTAGGACTTTTAATACAATTATATATTCATATATATATAGCTAGACGAACCGTATGGTTGTACGGCAGTGAAGCATCAGTGCCAACACTGATGTTGCTGTCTTTGATGATGATGACTATCGTTAACTCGCGCACAACGTACGGATTAGTGGTCCACATAGCTTCGCCACTTTAAAGTTGTGGCCAAACGGAAATTCTTAAAGTGTTTCCTCAATCGATGGATTGTCGCACCTATTCATGGTCATCCATGATTGTCGCGAGTCTTCATTCTTACAGATGCTGTTGCAACTGGTCCTTCAGAGCACGTATTCGCCAGCTGAGTAACTCAGACAAACTTTTTCATCTAGTTGATAATCTAGATTGAGTGGACAAGCGCAAACTTTCGAGAAATACACTCATTTGCAAATCAATTTGGTTTTCACGAGAGACTCA